TAGGAAAGAAGACAGGGTATACAGCAACAGGGCAGGGGGTACAAGGAGGAAAGACAGGGTACAGCAACATGGCTGGAGTACTGGAATGAAGAACAGGGTACAGCAACCCAATGCGCAGGGTACAAGAGGAAGGACAGGGGTCAGGGGTTACAGCAAACCATGCAGGAGTATAGGAAGGAAGACAGGTTTACAGCAACATGGCAGGGGTACGAGAGGAGGAGACAGGGGTACAGGGGGTACAGCAACATGGCAGGGGTACAGGAAAGAAAAAGAAATAACAGGGTACAGCAACATGGGGCAGGGGCTACAAGAGGAAGACAGGGGTACAGGGGTACAGCAACATGCAGGAGTACAGGAAGAAGACAGGGTACAGGCAACATGCGCAGGGGTACAAGAGGAAGACAGGGGTACAGGGCGTACAGCATATGGGCAGGGGTTACAGGAAGAAGACAGGGTACAGCAACATGGCAGGGGTACAAGAGGAAGGACAGGGGTACCAGGGGTACAGCAACATGGCAGGGAGTTCAGGAAAGAAGACAGGGTACAGCAACATGGCAGGGTTAAAGAGGAAGACAGGGGTCACAGAGGGTGGGCTACAGCAACTGGCAGGAGGTACAGGAAGAAGACAGGGTACAGAAACATGGCAGGGGTACATGAGGAAGAAAGGGGTACAGGGGTACAGCAACATGGCAAGGGGTTACAGGAATAGAAGACAGGGTACAGCAACCATGGCAGAGGGTACAAGAGGAAGACAGGGGTACAGCAACAGGCAGGAGTACAGAGAAGAAGAAAGGGTACAGCAACATGGCAGGGTTACAGAGGAAGAAGGGGGTACAGCAACATGGCAGGAGTACATTGAAGAAGACAGGGTACAGAACATGGCAGGGGTTACAAGAGGAAGGACAGGGGTACACGTGGTATTCCTGGGGTACAGCAACATGGCAGGAGTACAGAAGAAGGACAGAGGGTACAGCAACATGGGCAGGGGTACAAGAGGAAGACGGGGTTACAGGGGTACAGCAAACCATTGGCAGGGTACAGGAGGAAGACTGGGGGCTACTGTGGTTACCAGGGGTACAGCAACATGGCAGGGGTACAAGGGAAGACAGGGGTACAGGTGTACAGCAACAGGAAGGAGTACAGAAGAAGAAGGGTGCCTCTGCAAAATGGCAGTGTGTAGAAAGGAAGTCAGGGGTACAGGGGGACTGAAACATGGCAGGAACCACAGGAAAGAAGACAGGGTACAGCAACATGGCAGGGGTACAAGAGGAAGACAGGGGTACAGTGGTTTTTTACCAGGGGTACAACAACATGGCAGGAGTACAGGAAGAAGACAGGGTACAGCAACATTGCAGGGGTACAAGAGGAAGACAGGGGTACAACAACATGGCAGGGGTACAGGTAGCATTAGGAAGGGTACGCAACATGGCAGAGGGTTACAAGAGGAAATAATGACAGGGGTACAGGGGAACAGCAACATGGCAGGGAGTACAGGAAGAAGAAAGGGTCAGCCAAACATGGCAGAGGCACAAGAGGAAGCGGGTACAGCACATGGCAGGAGTACAGGTAGAAGACAGGGTACGCAACTGGCAGGGTACAGAAGAAGACAGGGGGTACAGCAACATGGCCAGGAGTAACAGGAAGAAGACAGGGTACAGCAACATGGCAGGGTACAGGAAGAGACAGGGGTATACTGCCAACATGGGCAGGAGTTCAGGAAAGAAGACAGGGTACACGCAACATGGCAGGGGTACAAGAGGGAAGACAGGGTACAGCATCATGGCAGGGGTTACAAGAAGATGCTCCAGGGGACTCTACAAGTCAATGGTTGCTCTTCACCTCTAATGCACAGGGACAGTTGAACTTCATCATTTTTTGTATATAGTTCTACTCTTCCATTTTTGTCCTTGAATTTGTATTTGATAATCCACTGGATGGTCGAACCGATACGTCTACAATAAAGGTACCCAGATGTTGCCACACGTGTCAGTTCTTCGTCCTGTTGGTACTTGTTACCATACATATAACAGATCTCGCGATTAAAAGAGAAGCCTAGAAATGTGAACTTGCACATGGACAAGTATCCTTACTAGGGTGCCAGATCAACCTGAATGTGTGAATAGGTGGGGATTGGCTGTGGGTCAGCACAGCTTGGTTGAGATAGGCAAGCAACCAGACGAGCCTGGCCCATGGCCGGGCTACGGGTGTAGAATAAATTCTCGGAACTTTCAGAGTTATGGCCCGATAAAAAATTAATCACGAAACATGCTGAGTTAATACAGAGATCTCCGTGTAGAAATAGCCCTTGTGGCCTTAGCGCTTTTTTTGATTATTATAAATAATAATACAGTGATTAGAAGAAAACTCCTAGATCCCCCCACCCCACATGTGCCCCCCCCCAGTAACCCTACCATACACGGGCGGGGGTCCGGGGGAACCCGCGATCAGAGACATAAATCTCAAGACTGATCGCGGGTTCTATCCCCACCCGTGGCATGAATTTGTTTGCAAATCGTGTCACTTAGATTTCGTGAGTCATTGAACCTACTTTTTACATTTAAAATAGGCTCAAACTCTTTTAAATAGTCACAGCGTATGCTTCAATCTCTTGTTTATTCATGAAAAGTTCGTCGTCTGTGAACTCTGTCAACTTGAAACATAGCAGAGAAAGACCAAGTGAACTCTTTTAAAAAGTAAAGGATACTGCCCAAGGTGAGATTCTTATCCATCTTGCTATACCCTAAGGAGACAGCTTTTACGTTATGGATGCTGTGTTCCTGGGAGCTGCCTTCCCTGGCAACCCTCCCCTGCCTGGCCAGATGGTATAAGTGATGGCTGGTCAGGTGGGTGTTGGTGGCTGGCCAGGTGCGAGTAGAAGTGATGGCTGGATAGGTGGTGGTGATGGCTGGCCAGGTGGAGTGATGGTGATTGGCCAGGTGGTGTGTTGGATGGCCAGGTGGAGTGATGGTTGGCCGGTGGTTAGTTGTGTTGGATTGGGATGGCCAGGTGGAGAGTGATGGGCCTGGCCAGGGTGGAGTGATGGGGCAAGGTGGAGTGATGGCTGGCAGGTGGGAAAGAGGTGATGGCTGGACCACGGTGGTGTGATGGCTGGCAAGTGGAGTGATGGCTGGCCAGGTCGGAGATGTGAATGGCTGGCCAGGCTGGAGTTGATGGCTGGCCAGGTGGAGTGATGGTGGCCAGGTCGGTGTGATGGCTGGCCATGGTGGAGTGATGGGCATGGCCAGGTGAGAGTAATGGCGGGCCAGGGGGAAAGTGATGGTTGGCCAGGTGGTGTGATGGCCTGGCAGGTGGATGTGATGGCTGGCCAGGGTGGAGTGATGGCTGGCCTAGGTGGTAGTGTTTGGCTGGCCAGGTTGGAGTTGATGGCTGGCCAGTGGGGGGATGGCTGGCCAGGTGGTGTGTGAGGCTGGCCTGGTGGAGTGTGATGGCTGGCCAGGGTGGTGTGATGGCTGGCCATTGGGTGGAGAGTGATGGCTGGCCAGGGGTGGAGTGTGGGCTGGCCAGGTGGAGTAGTGATGGCTGGCCAGGTGGAGTGATGGTATGGGCCAGGTGGAGTGATGGCTGGCCAGGTGGAGTGATGGCTGGCTGGTTGGTGGGAGGCTGGCCAGGTGGAGGTGATGGCTGCGCCCAGGTGGAGTGATGGTGGCCAGGTGGTGTGATCGGCTGGCCAGGTGGAGTGATGGCTGGCCAGGTGGTTGTGATGGATGGCCTAGGTGGGAGTGAAGTGTTTGGATGGCCAGGTGGTGTGATGGCTGGCCAGGTGGAGTGATGGACTGGCCAGGTGGGATGATGGCCTGGCCAGGTGGAGTGATGGCAGGAAGGTGGCGCTGAGTGATGGCTGGCCAGGTGGTGTGATGGCTGGCCAGGTGGAGTGATGGCTGGCCAGGTGGAGTGATGGCTGGCCAGGTGGAGTGATGGCTGGCCAGGTGAGGAGAGCTGAGTGTGTGATGGCTGGCCAGGTGGAGTGAAGGCTGGGCCAGGTGGAGTGAGTGGTGGCCGGTGGAGTGAATGGCTGGACAGGTGGTGTGGATGGCTGGCCAGTGTGGTGTGATGGCTGGCAGGTGGTGTGATGGCTGGCCAGGTGGAGTGATGGCTGGCCAGGTGGAGTGATGGCTGGCCAGGTGGAGTGATGGCTGGCCAGGTGGAGTGATGGCTGGCCAGGTGGAGTGATGGCTGGCCAGGTGGAGTGATGGCTGGCCAGGTGGAGTGATGGCTGGCCAGGTGGAAGTGATGGTTGGCCAGGTTGGTGTGATGGCTGGCCTGGTGGGAGTGATGGTGGCCAGGGTGGTGTTGTTGTGATGGCTGGCAAGGTGGTAGTGATGGCTGGCCAGGTGGAGGGATGGTGGCCAGGGTGGAGTGATTGGATGGCCAGGTGGGGCAGTGGTGATGGATGGCCAGGTGGGTAGTGAGGCTGGCCAGGTGGAGTGATGGCTGGCCAGGTGGTGTGATGGCTGGCCAGGTGGGAGTGTTGGGCTGGCCAGCGTGGGAGTGATGGCTGGCAGGTGGAGTGTGGCCTGGCCAGGTGGAGTGATGGAGGGCCAGGTGGGTGATGGCTGCCAGGTGGTGTGATGGCTGGCCAGGCCAGGTGGTGTGATGGCTGGCCAGGGTGAGTGATGGACTGGCCAGGTTGCGTGTGATGGTTGGCTGGTGGTGTGATGGCTGGCCCAGGTGGAGTGATGGAGGCCTGGTGGAGTGTATGGCTGGCCAGGTGGAGTGATCGGCTGGCCAGGTGGAGTGGATGGCTGAGCCAGGTGGAGTGATTGGCTGGTTCAAAATATAATGGAGAATGCACAATACCACACTCGTTTGAGACATTTTTTCATGTTCACACAGTGAAACGTTTGCATCGTTTAAGAACTGGATAGAAACCTAAAGTCAGTATCTGACCTGGCGGACTGTGGTTCGTATTTTGAATTGCATGCGGCTGGCAGTAACAGCCTGGTTGGTCAGGCAATGATTCAACCGTGTGAGGTTTGGTCATGGGACCTGGGCGCGGGGGCGTTGATGCCTGGAACACCCTTCAGGTAGACTCTAAAGTATTGCTTGACACAAGCTTACCTGTGATGGAGTATCCAGAACTTCTAATGGAGTATCCGGAATGTCTGATGGAGTATCCAGGTGCTCTGAGGTATGTGTTTAGAAGGTGTAATGGAGTATCCAAGAGCTGTGATGAAATGTGTATATAGAACATGTGACGGAGCGAGTGTCCAGGTGTGATGGAGAAAGTTTGGAGGTTGGGACCTGGTAGGCAATGCTCTCGCTTCACACGCTGAGTTCGTGGTTCGATCCCCGGAAAGGGTAGAAACATTGGGCGTGTTTCCTTACACCTTTTGTCCCCGTTCACCTAACAAGCAAGTAGGTACCTGGGTGTTAGTCACTTGGTGTGGGTCGCATCCTGGGGGACAATATTGAAGACCATAGTGGAAATAAGACACACTGCCTTGATGACGCCCTGATTTTCTTGGGTTATCCTGGGTGGCTAACCCTCCGGGGTTAAAAATCCGAACAAAATCTTACCTTATCTCTTACCTTATGTAGCTAAGTGTTTGCTCTGGATGGTTGATTATCTCAGTGTTGTTATGATGGGTGAGCTTGAGGTTAATGATATCACTGTCATGACAAGTGTTGTGTTTGTGTGTATTAAACTAGCCTCTCTCCCTCCCTCCCTCCCTCTCTCCCTCTCTCCCTCTCTCCCTCCCTCCCTCCCTCTCTCCCTCCCTCTCTCTCTCTTTCCACACTGGTATATTACAAACCATTCTGGAAAAGTACCCTGACTTTGCTCACTGTATTTACAAGATTTAGACTTTGCCACCGAAGTGGCTAGTTTATTGTGGACCTCATATCCATCCTGTGGACGGTAGCGCAAGAGCATATGGATACACAAAAGGCCTAGGAACTAGGCCCCAAAAGGGTTAACAGGTGTACGTTTGGATTTATATCTACAGTTCACTTGTCTGTTAAAAGCAAATTCAGGAAATTTGCTTAGTATATCTGGTATTTTCATTAATAAGATATCTTGACATGTCACAGATTATTATACTGTATCTCTATATTCCTCAGTAAGTGGACACTTAAGCACATAGTGTTCAAGACAGTGACCATATGCCTGACCACATAAATTGCAACATCAGTCAGTCTGTTCACATTGCAAGTTACTCCATAAACATACTTATCTACGTTCATGTTATCATAGTGGGTTATAGATCTACTCAGACTTCTAATTGCATTCCTATAACAATCATTTTCATTATTTACTTCTCTCCTAATATTATTCCTAATGATAGATATACCAAAGTTATATTCTGCATTCTCCTTCTGGGTGCTCTTCTTGACTAACATATCAACTTTAGCGTGGAGTAATCCAGTGTATGATGGGATCCATAGTAATTGTGCATTAATTCCTTAAATAAATCATTACCACTTTTGTGTGTGTGCGTGTGACCTAATTCATGTCTGAATAAATAATTCATTACGATTGTGACCAAATATAAGCATGTAAATAGTTTATTACCACTATAACATGTTCAGTTTTCAAAATTTTGCGGCCCAGTCCCTGGACTCATTATGTAGCTCTGTAGTCTTTAGACTCTCACCCACAGGATGGGTATGGGGTGACTACCACCCACAAGATGGATGTGGGGTGCATAATAAAGATGTTTAACTAAATATACGCCCTCGTTTCCCTCACATCTCCCACTTTCCATCTATCCATCCTTCCATTCCCCTCCACTCTCCATCCATCCATTATATAAGCCATTCTGAGAGATGCTACATCCCAAGTAATAATTCCAGTTCTGGCAACGTTTCGCTCTCCAGGAGCTTTATCAAGCAATGGCTTGATAAAGCTCCTGGAGAGCGAAACGTTGCCACAATAAATGTCACAATTCCAGTTCTGTTGGAACAAAACCTCAGGTTCACATTTCAACATCAACAGCACCCTTCTGATGTATCCAGTTTTGCTAAATAAAAAAATTCTCATGTACATTTCCTTGCCAGATATTATTATCTGATGTTACTTCCTACCATAATCACTTAGCATCTCAGTTGTCCTGTCCTGCTGCACTTCCAGTCGCATCTTCTGTGCTTATTTTCCCTTGCCAAGCCTTCTAGCAAGTGTCCCGGGACGTAAACAGCAGCTCCACTTCTAACAACTACTACCATTTCCTCTTATCAAGTAGTTTCTTCACCAGGCACTGCCATCACTAACGTCAGTAACCATCACTCTTTCCTCTTTAAGGTAGTTTATTCAGTTCAGACCTCCGTTATCAGCGGCAGTAACCACTAATTGCTCCGGCAGGTAGTTTCTTCAGCAAGTACCCTCGTCACCGGCGACTCATCAGCATCAACAAGCGCTACACAGGACACATCAACCAAGAGTTCAACCTCAGACATGACTGGAACTCTCTCCTCTCTGACGACGAGAGCCTTCTCTTCAAGCACTTCTCCAGCGACTTCTTCCCTGAGGTACGCCACCAGGTATAAATACATGCAGATGTACACATTTGTGATCAGACTATTTGGTCCTGTTAAGGGACCAGGAAAGTGGGGAGAACTTGATACGGCTAAAGCTGTCAAGGGATCCTATAAACAGTCGACAGCACGAGAGGGTACTACGGAATCCTTAAAGTCAAGGAGTCTGGATATGTTGGTAACAGAATCAATTTTATCAATTTCTTGGATCGAAATGGAGTATTGCAGACAATATTTTTACAAAAGATGCCCATTGTTATTAGGACTTTTTCGCTCTGGCTTTTAATATGTGAACTGATTGAAAACTGTCCTCAAAACGATTTCCACACTCCTGCAGAACGACTCGATGGTGCGGTACCTGAATGAGTTCGTGGTGCGGCAGGGGTTACGGGTGCGGTACAATACTGCGGTACGAGATATACGCCGTGTACCCAGCACGGTACAACAACCATCAGGCTACTTCACCATACGCGACCAGCACAACCGTCACTACACTTGTAGGTAAGTGCCACACCTGAGATAAGTGCCATCACACCTCGGTAAACGGTCAGTGGAAATAGATAATGATGGCAGGAAAATCTTTTATTACCAAGTTACTAATATATAAGAATAGGTAAATATTCCACCTTGAATGGCATAAGAGCGCCCTTAGGTCAGGCTCAGAGAAAGTGAGGTCAAAGGTGAGGTCATATATTTTTGTAAGTAGGTGGCAGTGACAAGACAAGGTTTAACATAAAATTCACAAATGATATGGGCAGTGGGTATAGCGACCATCTACGATCACTTGCTTTGTTTGACGGTGTTGGGGAGGTGGATCGTGGCTACTTCTGGTGTAACAAGGTGATCTTTCCCAGTCTTTGTGAAAACGTTCACAAGACACATATGCATCAGTTATGTATCTTTATTCCGAAACGTTTAGTCTACACAGTAGACTTCAGTTGAGTACAGAGCTTTAAGATGGACTATGGATGTGGTGCTAGTGTTCATACTGTAGGCATATTTATGTTCCTGAAGAAATGTCTGAAAGTCTCAGCCGGTCTTTCTGACAGATTTTTTTCATTTCTCAACACAGTATGTTGTGCACTGTTGCTGTACAAGTAGATCTGACTCTAGGGTTAGTGGTAATATCTGTGGTAGTTGTGATGGTAAGGACTATCATGTCCATGTTGGCTTGTTGGAGAAGCGTCTACCTGGAGGGTATTCCGGGGATCAACGCCCCCGCGGCCCGTTCCACGACTAGGCCTCGTGGATCAGGGCCTGATCAACCAGGCTGTTACTGCTAGTCGCATGTAGTCCAACGTACGAACCACAGCCCGGCTGATCCGGCACTGACTTTAGGTATCTGTCCAGCTCCCTCTTGAAGGCAGTCAGGGGTCTATTGGTAATTCCCCTTATGCTTGGTGGGAGGCTGTTGAACAGTCTTGGGCCCCGGACACTAATGGTGCTTTCTCTTAGTGTACCAATGGCGCCCCTACTTTTAATTGGAGGTATTTTGCACTGCCTGCCAAGTCTTTTACTTTCGTAAGGAGTGATTTCTGTGTGCAGATTTGGAACCATTCCTTCCAGGATTTTCCAAGTGTAGATTATGATACATATCTCTCTCCTGCGTTCCAGCGAGTACAAGTCAAGTGCTTCCAAGCGTTCCCAGTAGCCGAGGTGCTTGATAGAACTTGTACGTGCAGTAAAGGTTCTCTGAATGTCGACTCGTTGGCGTTCTGTAGAAACTAACCTCTTGCTCCAGCTGTGACTCGTTTAGGTTTAGCACTTATTTTTAATATATTAGCATTAGTAAAGATAGTTTAAGGTGTACAAGTGATACTGTTGAAGCTATCATAGACACTGCAAGGTGTACAAACAACGTAGCTGAGGTTCTCGCTGTATCTCAGTTTTAGAGAAAGTTCAGAAGGTACAGAAAAATTTGTCCGTTAAAAACAAACGTTCTACCGCTGTAAGTAAAGTAAAAGGACAAGTGCAACTAATGTGACAATTTATTGTGGCAACGTTTCGCTCTCCAGGAGCTTTATCAAGCCGTTCTGCCGCTGCGCTGCGTCCCTTGAAGGCGGCCGGGGGGAGGGGGGGGGGAAGTTGTCTTCAAGCCACTTAAGGATCCTTGATCACAGTACGTGGATATTTATGCTCCCTCATTCTTGAATCTTTTCTTTCCACCTTCCAACACTCAGGTGCTGCATGTTAATATAAAATTAATTCGAAGTTGACCTAGATACTTCGAGTAGAATCGCTCAGGTGAAGCTGCCACCATCGGTAAATGTTACACATTTTATAAACTGAGATAAGATAATTATAATGATAATTATTTATAAAGTATGCACTAAGGTAGGATAGCTTTATAATGTTAATTGAACTGTATAAAAATATAATTTTTGACTTAGGCTGAAGTGTTTCCCAGGTACATGATAGTAGCCACGGGTATGGGCATCCCCAACACACCCACCTTCCCCGGGTCTGACCTGGTTCATGGGTACGAGGACCTCCAGATTGACCCCAGCTACTATGAGGGCAAGAGTGTACTCATCCTGGGCCGCGGTGAGTACAGTACTCAGCACTTGGCTACTAAATGAATGGTGGTAAATGTCTTATTTTTTTTTTAGTCGGTCTACGCTAGTAAGAGACGTGTGTGTGTGTGTGTGTGTACTCACCTATTTGTTTGTGTGTGTGTGTGTGTGTGTGTGTGTGTGTGTGTATCCGCTTAATTCGCAAACAGGCGAAATTATTTATAAACATTGTCTCAATCCACGGCAGGATTCGAACCTGCAAACTCGGCATCAGAGGTGAGACCTGTGTAAATTTCGTCTCAAAAATTAGTGTTCCACGTTGCTAATCTTGTAAATCTAAATATAATCCTTATAAGATAGGTTAGTCAATAAAGTTAAATAAAATATTTAAACAATAAATTAAATTAAGTAAATACCGAATTACACACACACACACACACACACACACACACACACACACACACACACACACACACACACACACACACACACACACACACACACACACACACAAACAACTCTTACTTCTTACATTTATGTATTAATCCTGAGTGTGCAGCAGCACCTGTTATTTCCAGCATATATTAACATTCCCAGTGGGAATGAAAGCGAGAGACGAAGACTAATTATACTGTTGATGTTTTGATACAGTTCTTGAAAACAGACTGGTTCATTTGTGGATAAAACAACGAATAGGCGTTCTAGACGCTCATGATGCCATGTTCCTTCTTACCCAGTGCTCGAATCTGCCCAGGCTAACATATTTTCTAACATGCTAACCCTCGTATGACAGTTCAGAACTACATGTATGCGACATTATCCTGAGGCTGAAATTTACAAGAGTACTGAACCTTACTCTAGGAGACTGACAGTGAGACCAAGCTACACTTCCAGTCAGACTTGGAAGTACTGGTATCTGCAGGACATCATACATTGCACTACCTGCTTTTCTGTCTTCATATGTGGCATCCAATGAACTTGTAGCAGCGATTCTTTCAGAACACTTCAGGGGTAATGTTGGAGTTCGTGACCAAAAGTTCATTGATGGGCTCTGGTGGCCTGGTGGTTAACGCTCTCGCTTCACACGGTGAGGGTCTGGGTTCGATTCCCAGCCAGAGTAGAAACATTGGACGTGTTTCTTTCCACCTGTTGTCTTGTTCCCCATCAGTAAAATGGGTACCTGGGTGTTAGTCGACTGGTGTGGGTCGCATCCTGGGACACTGACCTAAGGAGGCCTGGTCACAGACCGGGCCGCGGGGGCGTTGACCCCTGGAACTCTCTCCAGATAAACTCTCTCCAGAAACTCCAGATGGATCCAGGTTCTGGGATAATCTGACTGATTCTTCAACCAGACCTGCTGGCCCCCAACAATTACTGGCGATCACACTGGGATGGCTCACTAATGGAGAAGAGAAAGCTTCAACAATGCTTGAGTGTGTGTCGGGGAAGGACAGAGCCCTCATCCTGGCACTGAGAACTCATCATGCGGAAGATTTCCTGGTGGTTGTCCCCAGTTCCTCCCTTTGGCTCACTCTTCGACCCACAGACCATCGGCATTGGTGTTGCCCTCCGCCTTGCCGCCCCTATCTTCACCTAACACAGGTGATTTACGGCAGTAAATCAGCACACCGATTCGGGTACCTTCGTCTTGTTTGTCGTAGATTAGAGGGGAAGATTGCAAGTCATAAATAGGTTAATAACATCAAGAGGAGCCTCACAACAGTTGAATGTCCAGCAAAAAGGGAGCCACCCCAACTGTGCAGATCTGATGACAACCAAAAGCTTCTGGATGGAATTACTTTTGCAAGCTGGCAGAGGGAAAGCAGGGGGGTGAGGGACTAACATGTAATCCACATTGGCTAATACCTATCTCCAGTACACCAGGGAGAAAGGATGGGCAGCTGCCAGGTTCAGGGAGTCCCAGAAGTCTAGGAAGTACGGTGAACTTGCCTATCATTATATGATTGTTCCCTAGGCAAGAGCCCCCTGTCCATGGGGAAAAGACGAACCAAGTTCCTAAAGGGGGCAAGACAAAAAGGCCTTAGGGCAGTAAAAAATCCGGGAAAACTAGTTTTTCTGTTTCAACGCCGGTGCGTATTTAGCCTTTGTATGATGGGTACACCCCCGCTCGAGGGCTGGATGAGAATTTTGTAAATTGTTTTTCACAAAAACCACGTAGCA